GCGGCCTGGCAACGCACGCCAAATGACGGAATCATCAGACAGCTCGTCGGAAGACACTTCTGCTGCCTCGGTCTACGCAGCGAGCATTGCCTCCGCACCCGTCCCGAACACGGATCACTCACGCACCAAGTCGAGGGAGCTATCTGCACAGGAAATTGCCGCTGCCGCCGCCGCTGCAGCAGGAGCAAGCAACATGGCGACAAAGAAACAGACCATCAACCAATCCCTCAACTCTGCCACAGCAGCAGCCAGGAACTGGCTCGCAGCCAAGCAGAACGCAAAGCCCAACACCAGTACCACCAACAGACCACCAACATCCGAGGGCCCGAGCATAGATCACGACTCATCGTCATCGTCATCTCTGGACCCCCGCCCACAACTCCACTCCAATCCCTCCATCTCGAAATCCCACTCCGAACCCATGGGTAGAGGCCAACCCCTCCCTCCCCCAGGCACACCTCTACCGCACCCCAAGAACGAAAAACGACAAACGTGGGCCATCCCCGCCGCAGCCTCGTCCACATTTGCGAATCTTACGAAACGCAAACCCGTCGTCCCGGGTCCCAGCTCCCCCGCCGTGTCCAGCAAACACTCAGTTGAAGATCTCATTGACAGCCCAAAAACAGCACTAGGCACAGCCTCCCTTTTGCCCGCCGCACACTTCCCAGATCAAGACGCAAGGACAGGAGGTGGCGGAGATGACGACGACGGGGAAGATGTGTTTCGGGAGATGCGGCGGAGGAAAAGCAGTGCTGGCAGTGCTGGTACTGCGCATACTGCGAGTGAGCTCGCGACGCCGCCGCCGCCGTTGCCCAAACGCAGGCAGAGACAGCCGAGTCTGAATCTGAGTGCGCATACGAGGCGGGCGAGTCAGAATCAGAATCTGCCGCAGCTTGGTGGGGAGGGCGAGGGGTTGTTGGTTGTGGAGGCGCCGGTTGTGGAGGGGAATACGGGGAGGGACGATGAGGGAGGTAGGGAGAGGGGTGTTACGTGAGGAGAGTAGTGTTGAGGTAGTTCATGAATGTCATTCTCGGCACGAAGGCAAGGTCATGCAAGAAACCGAACTGAATGCATGCTGATAACTCGTGTAATATCTCTTTTGGCCTATCTGCTTGACGACCTTTTCTTAGGGTATAAATCTTCATCTCCAGGGATCATCGTCCTCATCCCATTTTCGCGTTTGAAAAGTCCATCTCAGGGTGCTGCTTCTTGAACTGCTCCAGGATGTCCGCCTTCTTCTGCTCGTCGCTCGTCGGCTTCCCTAGCTCCTTCTGCTTCTGGTCAAACATCATCTTCTCCACCATGCCGCGTGTCTCTCCGTCGAGGTCGCCCAGCTTGCTGTTCTCGGGCTGGATCTTGGAGGTGTCGATCTTGGGCGCTGTGGTGACGACGTGGGCCCACCACTCCATCTGGTTCACTTTGTCGAGGTGGATGGAGATCTCTTTCTGGGAACCGACGGAGGTCAGTGTCCAGGTGGAATCGTCGACGCGTATGGCATGAGGCAGCTCGCCCTGGACAAAGCGTTAGCACATGCTTTTGCTGGGCGGAACAAGCAAGGACGAACGTCGATGAAAGGCTCCTGGCCCTTGATGCCGGCCTTGAGCGCGTTGCGAGTAATCTTGACATCCAGGTCCTTGCCCTTGTACTTGCCATCAATGGTGATGGCGATGTCGAGGTCCTTGATGGTCTGGTCCCACTTGTAGGGCAGGGCGGCCTGCTCGGCCTGCTCCTTTGCGCGGGCGTCGGCGTCGGCCTTCTCGCGCTCTTCGGGTGGGGGTGAGGCAGACATGGCAGCGTGTTTGGCGGCGTGGTGGGAAAAGTTTCAGTGTTTGGGAGGGGAGCGTGGGCGGGACACGATGACGCTCCTCCGCCGATCCATCGTTCGCAGCAAGCCCGACGCAAGCGCAAGCTCCACCATGCGCCCTGCTTCACTCCTCCTACCCCGGTCCACTCCAATAACGGACATGCTCCTCGGATTGCAATCTACGGGCCACCCTCTCCTCTATTGATAACGCGACGACTCCTATCCTTCACCCGCGCCGTAATGCTCTCCTAGCACTGCCCGAGCCATTGCGACACCCGGCCACGACACCCGCACCCACCGCCAGCACGACGGCTACACGGCACCACCGAGCCCGCGGCCCAACCGGGCAGCCACCTGTGAAGTCATGGCCAGCTCCTTCGAGAAGAGTGTCAAGGGCGGCACCAAGATCAAGGTAGCTATGCGCCCTCGCTCCTTCCGGCTGCTCCCCATGCGCCATCACGCTGGACTAACACACGATACAGCTCGCCGCGCCCAAATCCAAGTATGTCGAGCATATCCTCGTCGCGACGCATGCCGGCGAGGCAGGCGTGGCTGAGATCTTCCGCGCCCTCACGAACCGACTACGCGACTCGACATGGACCATCGTATTCAAGAGCTTAATCATCGTACATCTCATGATAAGAGAAGGCGAGCCCGAGGTCACGCTCAAATACCTGGCGCAGAACCCACACAGAAAGCTGGCCATCAACCATTTCACAGAGGGTACGTCTTGAGATTCAGTTCCGGGCCGCCCAGCCAGGGTGATGTGGCTACAACACGGGCACGAATTGGGCAGCAACCGCGTCGCCCAATGCCCTGTATCTTGAGACGGATGGCATTTGGACTGCAACAGAAAGCATACACCAGGCGCTAACATTGCGTGCAATAGTACAGACCCAGGGCCACAATATCCGGACCTACTCCGAATACCTGCTGCGACGTGCGATCGAATATGGCGCCACCAAGGTCGACTACGTGCGCGGCGGCGAGGGGCGGCTTAAGCGGCTGACCGTGGAAAAAGGCCTTCTTCGTGAAGCCGAGAGTGTGCAGGACCAGATCAGATCACTGCTCAAGTGCCAGCCCTTCGACGACGAACCAGAAAACGAGATTACCATGACAGCATTCCGATTGCTCACGATGGATTTGCTGGTACTCTTCCATGTTATGAACGAGGGCACCATCAACATACTCGGTAAGTCCAACATGTCTTCTTGGTTTATAGGGTATTGATAAAGTAGAGCACTATTTCGAGCTGTCAAAGCCAGACGCAACACGCGCGCTGGCAGTATACCGCACATTCGTCAAGCAGACGGAAGCTGTCGTCCAATACCTTAGTCTTGCAAGAGCACACGAACACTCGACAAGACTGGAAATCCCCAAGATCAAGCATGCTCCGACCAGTCTGGCAGCATCCCTGGAAGAATATCTCAACGACAAGGACTTCGAGATCAACCGACGACAGTACATCGCCGAGAAGGAGGCGAAGAAGAACGGGGGCAAGCCTACCAATGGCGCCAGCAAACCCTTGGATACGAAGCCTTCCACGGCGAATGCACCCTCAAACAATACGAGCAGTCAGCAGCCAGCAGCAGCCTCGAAACCCTCCTCCAGCGCACCCTTGATTGACCTCTTTGCATCACTCGAGGACAACCAACAGACCATGGCCACGCAGCCCATGATGCAGCAGTATCCCCAACAAACAGGCTTCCAGGTTCCACAACAGACGGGCTTTCCTCAACAGCAGCAACAGCCCTTTGCTATGCAGAATGGCCAGAGCACCAATCCGTTCCAGATGCAGCAGCCACAGGTGCCGCAGATGCAGGCACCCCAGCTCCAGTCACAATTCACAGGCGCAGGCTTTGGAGGCTATTCGCCTCAACCCTTCGGTGTACAGAATACCATGCCTTCAATACCACAGAATGGTATGCCTGATTATTCACAACAGCAGCAAATGCAGATTCCCACAATTGCCGAACCCTTACAACCACAACAAACGTCAACAAACCCATTCCGACAGTCAATGCTGCCGAGTGCCGAGCCCAAGATGCTCACTAGCCCTACCAGCACTGGATCGCTCAATCGGTCATCCACGAATCCATTCGCAAAACAAAGTACCGGTTTCTCGCAGTCGCAATCACCAATCAATTCTCCACCTTACTCCATGTCACCCATCCAAGAATCGCCATTCGCTCCGATGCAGCAGCAGCCTTTGCAGCCAACACCAACCGGCACAAATCCATTCGCACGGCAGCCCTCGCCGCAGAGTGTCGCATCCCCACAGGGTGGCCTGACAGTGAACGCTACAGGCAGTACCAATCCTTTCCGGCAGAGCGCTTTTGTCAACCAGCAAACGGGCCAGGGTTGGCAGAATACAGGTAGCCAAGGGACGATGGGCGGAATGAGCCTGGATCAGGTACCTACAACGAGTGTGTTTCCACGGCCTGGACAGCAACAGCAGCAAAATTTTCTTGGCTAGGATCAAGACATGATGACGGGTCAATGGTAGACTGCGACTGTAAGAAGCTCAAAGGGCAATTCACACACTCGTAAACGGGCATTTTCATTAGGGATGGCGTTTCTATATCGCTCGCCGCTGTAGTTATTACGTACTCGGTTGGACATAATCATGTTGCACTGCGCAAGGCTAGTTGTGTGCATATCGGTTTCTTGGAAGGGGCGTCGGGAGCCCGCTCAATGTCGGATGTCCAAGGGCAGATTGGGTTGTTTTGTGATAGATCATGTACCGACGATGTTGTCGTTTGTTGACGAGCTGGGCTGAGGCCAAGAGGGGAAGCCCCTCGCTAATGCATTATAATTACTGTCGCACACCCCGCGTTGTTCTCCCACTGTACAGAGCGTTGAGCCTTGACTCTGACTCTTGTGTTGGCAATTCTACCTGCGAGGTCGCGTCGAGTGGGGCTAAATAGTCGCCATTGCCTCTTAGGTAAATGCAGGGGTAATACAAGCCACGTGCCGACGCGTTGCCGTAGATTTAGCGCGCCGGCCACAACTTGCCTATCAAGCCTCACAGTCGGCACAACACGATCCTCAATCTCACTCACTCAACGCCGCTTTATATGCATCACAGATGATCACGGTTTCTGCCATCTCTATCTGGACCCGCCTCCCATGACCTTATTGAAAGAGCGCAAATTTGTCGACTGGCGCTGGCAAGCCCGCATCAGCGTTATCAACAATGAAACCTGACGGGTCTCTGGATGCTCCCTTCACTCTGGATGACGACCCGCCTAGTTATGTACCTGCGCCTACAGTGCGACGGCGCCATCGCCAAACGCTTGACCAAGATGGGCTTGAGGAGATCTCCGACGCGCAGCAAGCTGCAGCTGCATGGAAGGAGGTCGCCGCACGGAGACAAACGAAACAAAGACACGGGAAAAACATGAGCAATGATACGTCTGGAGGAGATAGTAGTACGAAGGACAGCAATCTCACAAACAAACCGCGAGACCGGACGTCGTCATCCACGAAGTCTGTTGAGATTGTTGATCTTTCAATCGATGAAGATGAGCCGCCAGTATCCGGACAAGCAACACAATCAGGCATAAATGCTAGGGTGAATCAGCGCCCAATTCAGGGACCACAGGGTTTTGTTCCTTTGCCTACTACGCGTCACGAAGCTGTGCTTCCTGAGCGAGCTAAGCCTGCTGAGTCTCCTAAGAGAACGAGTCGGATATTTTCTCTCCCCATGGAATCTCTAGCAACACCGACGTATAACTCACATCATCCGCCTCAATCATCGGTTGCACGAACAACGGGGCCATTCACGGGGCTTCCGGGGCCCTCGACAACGCCAACTTACCACTCACACTTTGTGCCCGGCTCATCAGTGGTGCAAGTGACAGAACCAAGTGCGGAGCTTTCCAGGGAATCTTCAGCAAACCCAGTCTATCAACCACGCTACCTGCCTCGATCACCAGTCACACAAGGAGCGGGACCAAGTGCGGAAGTCCCCAAGGTCACGCCGCTGAACCGCTCGCCGTCAGCCGCATCAACACCAAGGACAGAACCGAGTGTTACCACTCAAGCGATACTGATAGATGAGGATATTTCCCCTCAACCTACGTACCATGCGACATCGGCCCTCGGAGCCTCAACTGACCGTACCGCACCCGTCTTGGACCATACCGTAGACCCATCGGCGCAGCCGGCCAGTGATGTCTCTGAGAACCCACAAGAACAAGCCCCTGCCAGTCGCAGAGATGTAGTTCCCGAGTCGGACGACGCAACACCGGACGATGATAGCGGCAGCATGACTATCCCCTTGCCTAATAAGTCGCCTGAGCCAAACCTTTCAGCCATACAAAGACTGCCGCAGAAACAGAAAGCCATCAAGTCAGTAAGACGAAGAGATGATGGGTTCTCGGGTCCACAGCTGCCTGTCAGACCACCGCGTCAGTCTGCGACTGATCATCGGGGCGTAACAAACTTATCCTTCAAGCCTCTCGACCTGGGCTCGAGTAAGTCAAGGTCCGGGTCGCCTGTGGTAACACGTCGTAGCCAAAGCAAAACTCCAACGTTAGATACTAGTATCATTGCTGATAGCGCGCCTGCGCAGACGGAGGAAGAATCCGTCAGGGCTGCCAGTCCTGTGGAACGCAGCACAACGCCCACACAATCGCCGCCACCGCCACCTCACGATGAGGCAGGCGAACCTGCACCGGGGCGTGCCATTAGCTCGACACCTTTACTGTCCCGTTCCGCCACCCCTACTGCCCTGCGTCCTGTCGAGGCATCAGCAGAGCCGACCCGGCCTTCTGAAGCGCCATTACCAGTCCCCGAAATTATGATCCCAGATGTGCCAGCTCCGGCAACAGTCGTCAGTACTCATCCAACCATCCAACCCGAACACCTTCGGGTGCCTGTCGAGAACGATGGTGGTAGAACAAGCAAGAAGCCCCCACTGCAAGCAGATGTGCTCGTCACTACACGCTCAGCTGTAGAAGCGTGTTTGAAACGTCATGTGGCGGAACGACATGAATTACATGCATACTTGATGGAGACAAAGATGCGGAATCAGAGAACATTCCAAGAACAAGACCTACGCGCCCGGTCCCGTAAGCAGAAGCGTCCACAGCAGCCTATCCTACCCGAAAAGTACATCCAGAAGACTTCCCCCTTTGAGAACATGCGTGCTATACAAGTACCGTTCGACAGAGCCAACGCTAAGCGCTTCGTGGATATGAGTCAGGAAACATTCATCAAGGCCAAACCCAAAGACACAGTGGTCAAGTCAGGCTTAGCCGTGCCTACTACAAAGTACAAGAGTGATGCGCCAAAGATTCCTCCTTTCAAAGAGTATGTCAGTCTGAAGAACAACGTTCTTAAAGACAATGAGTCAAAATTACTCGCAACACCCTATTTCCAGGACGAAGACTACCGTGGTCGCGAGGTTCTGCTGGACACGCTTCCTTATATGTACGAGATGACGCATGACGAGAAGGGGCCGCTAGACTTCCGCAAGGAACAGTGCCGGTTCTACGATAAAGCCATCGAAGCATTCCTGTCTGAAATAGGCATCACGTGGAACGATGTCCTTTTTTGGCTACTGGCCCCGGATCAAGCCATTATACGAATCAACGACTCTTTAAATGGAAGCAAGCAGTTTGAAGCACAGGTCCTCGAAAGATCACGATATCACATTGAGGAGTTTGAGAGAGACGGTGAGCCGAAGAAGGCTACTCTGTTTGACCGGAACAACAAAAAGTGGGAAGAATTTGTCGCACAGCTTGAAGAGCCGATCCCGAGTGCTCTGAGACTTGCGGCAACAGCTTCTGCAGCGGTGTTCAAAGAATGTGAATTCAGCATCTGGTACCTGGCTCAACAGTCCAAAGCTGTACAGAGTCTCATACGGAAGAAGTCTGCACATGAGCAGTCTTCCAAGCACTCAACGTACAAAAAGATCATGTGCAGAGTATGCCATCAGTAAGTACCAATGCGTGAATTTTGATGCCGAAATCCTAACCTTCTTGACAGACACGATTGCCTTCTTCATGGCGAGATCAGACAAGTACCCGAGGATTCCTGGAAGACGGACTCGGAAGACGAAGAACGCGCTACACAGGCGACTGATGATACCAGTCGTCGAGGCTCCAACAACAAAACTCCGCGCCGTGTGTCGAACTTTAGCAGAGACGACACCGACGATGAGAACGAACCCGGCGACCCCTTGCCCGCACATTTTGACTCCGACTCCGACATCGAGAAGGTCATAAACTATAAGCTTCCTGCAAACCCAAGCGCTTTCGAGTCTTGTTCAGAGACGGAGATGATTACTCCCAAAGGTGCGAAACCGCCACCTGGTAAGTTTAATAGCACTTGGTGGCTGAACCAGGATACAACGCAACATTGGGAGAAGAGGAAGCCATTTTTCCCATGCAAGCACGAAGGCAGCTGCGAGAACGCGAAATGCCGGTGCTTTAGAGAAGGCATTAATTGTGAGAAAACATGCAAGTGCTCTCACTCTTGCAACCGACGTTATCCTGGTTGCAGTTGTGCAACAGCGTCGGGGAAGCGCGTGTGTCTTACACAGACATGTCTCTGCGTCAAATTCAACCGAGAGTGCGATGCAGACCTTTGTGGCTCTTGCGGAGCATCTGAAGTTCTTGACCCGGTGAATCGTTATAACGATGAAGTGGTTCAACGCACCTGCTGTAATGTCGCGATACAGAGGGGTGTTCCTCGGAAAACATTGCTCGGTCATTCGGAAGTGCATGGCTTTGGACTCTATATGGGCGAGGACATCAAGAGTGGCGAGTATATTGGTGAATATACTGGCGAGGCCATCTCGGTTAAGGAAGGCGATCGCCGAGTCACGATATACGACTACCAGAAGACGATGTACCTGTTTCGTCTAAACTCGAGTGAGTTTCTTTATCATTCTTACGCGAATCAGATTGCTAACACCAACATGTAGAGCAGGAAGTTGATGCGACATACATGGGCAATAAACTACGCTTCATCAACAATGCCGACGACAAGTACACAAACTGCGGCCCCAAGAACTTGCTGTGCAACACAGTCTTTCGCATCGCGCTCTTCGCCACCAGAGACATCAAGGCAGGTACCGAGCTGTTCTTCAACTACAACTATCCCAAGGAGAAGACAGAGCAATTCAAACAGCCTAATGCCAAGATCGTCGCAGTCAAACAGACCAAGCAAAAGACGAAGAAAAGGGAGTCACTCACCAGTCTGAGCCAGCCCATCGAGGACCGTTCACGTATCCTTGCCGCCACAGCAAAAGCCAGAGAGGCAAAAGCAGCGAAGCGGAAAGAGGCCATGCTGCAAGAGGGCGGCGTGGAGCCAGCCACAAGAAGGCGCTCTGGAACACTTCAAGCACGAAAGGCAGCTACGAGCAAACCCGGACGCAAGGCAGTGCGAAAGTCCAAGCGCGGAGGGCTCAATAGGAACGAGTCCACAGGTTCAGATACGGGTATGGATGTAGAGGCAAGCGACCCCGAAATCCCCGAAATCCCCCCTGTCATTGAGTCGCAGAGCACTCAGACTAGTCTGTACGTCCAGGACACGGAGGCGGAAGACGACGAGTTCATCTTGCCAGATACCCAAGAAGACGAAGAGCAAGATGTGGCTGAGCCGGCCTCTGAGGATGATGAACCGCCCGGTCGATCTACGAGGTCTCGTCGTGGGCCGGGTCGACCGCATAGGAGGGCGTCGGATGTGGCGCCGGTGGTTGCGGTCAAGCAGGCGGTTAAGCAGGCGGCCAAGCAGAAGAAGTCGAAGATGGGTGGTGCACGACCAGGTGCTGGCAGGAAGAGAAAACGACCCGTTATTGCTAACAGCGATGATGAGTGAGACCTCTGTGCTAGTAGTTGGGATCGTACATTGGTGGAAGGATGAGAGGGACGATGTGAGTGGGATGTCTGTTTGGTGTTCATTTTTGTGTTTAATACCCCATTCTATATTGCTTCAAGCAAGATATTACTACAGAAGACTTGTGCGTGCCTGTGAATTTGACAATCCCAATGCGCAAGACGTGCTGACACCCTCAACGATGGAATTTGCATAACCTACTTACACACCCCTGCCACTTCACGAGCAGCTGCAACGCAAACTCCCAGCATCACGCCAGACTCGTGAAATCCCCCCAACACCAAAGCCACCCCCTCTCCCACCCCGTACCAAACCGCCGCCCTAGTCCAGAGCTGCCAGACCACCCAACGGCCGCACCAACCTCCGGGACGCGACCCGCGAAAAGGCTGCAAGCCAGTACCGGCGTGCTTACCATTCAACTCCTAGTGCAACCACACCCAGCGATCTGCAACAGCGGGGAAAAGCAAACGGCATTCGTTCGAGACCGAGACTATCGAATCGAACGCTTGGGTAGCGGGAAAGAGGGGGAATAAGCACCGGAGACTGGAGGTGTCATCCAGACGTGGGATTGACGCACAGGCGTGATAGGTAAGTAAGCTCAGCGGGAACAAGCAAAACGTTGGTTTTGATCAGTATTTCTACGATGGACATGTATGTGCCTGCACAACTGTTGAGATTGCGATTGCACTGTGCGCAACGCAACTCCTCCTATCTATGGTAATTTGGCATTCAGCATACTCGGGTTTACCAAACGCCCCAAGCTGTGCGTGCGTTGCGCCTCTTCCGGTGCGGATCGCTGCACCCACGCACGAGATGTGCTACAGGTATGTCTGTAGCCAGCCGATGCGTTTAAGGTTTAGAGTGGGGCGGGGAAGGCCTGGCTAGTAGTTGAGATGGGCGAGATGCGACAGGAACGCGTGGAAACGGCGAGATGTCATGGGTGAAATGGATCTTGTAAGACTTGGTATGCAGCGGAGATGCTGTGATGGAAAACGTGTGTGTGTGTGTGTGGTGTCGCACCTGATTAAGCCCGGTGTAAAGAAGAGGCGGGTAAAGACATAAATGAACATCACGTGGAAGCTCCACCACCTGCATCATCTCCAGGGCTGGGCAATGTCTTGAGCCTGATACATCGCAATCACACACAGCTCAGCCCATGAATCCCCATCCACAAGTCGCGCTACGCACATACCTCTCCGTCGTTGAACGGAAACAACAATACCTACGTCAACAAAACGTCTTTCTTTTTTATTACCCACCCCCCTTAGCTCCGATGCGCATCTGAAGCCGAACATGGGAAGCATTAAAATACCCGAGACACAGACGCGGGCCAAGCTTGCACCAGAAAGGGAACGCACCTGCTACATTTAGCCTCTTTGCTCCGCAACCGGTGCTCCACCCACTCGTTGCTGCACTAGCCACACGCTCGGCCAACCTTCGCGCCCACGCCGCGGGTTCAAGCTATGGTGTGCGTGGTGAGTGGTGTGTAGTTCGGCGCGCGTTCTCTCTGCTGCGTGAGACGCATAATAGAAAGAAGATGAACACTCCTGTCCATGGGAAAGAAGCAAGACGGCGGAACAAAAGCCCACGGAGACGTTCATCTCCGGCGTCGCGCATGCCGCAACGAGGTCTGGATCCACCCGGTCTGATTGGATGCTGATGTCATTGTACGCGGCTGGAGCGTGCACCCACTTTCACATGTCAGACGACGACGCTTCACGCATCAGCAGGACCCAGGTAGGTGCTGCAACACGGACAACGGCCCCACTGTCCAACTCGCGCAAATGATGGCGCGCTTCACTTGCCCTCCAGCTGGCGGTGCGTAACAAAAGCTTGGAGCAAACGTGGGCAGTAGCAAGCCCATTCTGCCAAACCTCACCTTGCTTGTCTGTCCGTTCTCTGAGGCGTCTAGACTCGCTCGTCACTTTTGTCTGAATTGTTCCGCGGAAGAATTAACTGCAGTAACCAAGGGGTTTGTGTTGTTGGAATTGGGTATTCTTTCTTGCCGGTATCCGCAGTGTTGCATGCAGCTGGATCTGTTCATCATCCATTCTCAGCCTTACTCCTCATTTCTCACCTGACGTCTTCCCGACTCCGCTTTCCATCACCACCCACCCACCAACCAACCATCGGGGCACGCTGCCGGCACATCACCACATCCACTTTCAACCACACGTCTCGGTCTTTCTCGACGCACTTCACATATCCCCGGCCAAATGGATTGTATAGAGGCCATGGGTGCGCGACGTGCCATGTCGCTCATGTTCACCGTTCCGGAGCGCTTCGTCGGCTTCGCGCACATGGACCAGAAGACTTTCTTCGAACTCTCCGACTGGATCCTCGCAAACGTCGCATCAACGATTACGACCGACATAAGTGTGGAAGAGTCGCTGTTCATATTCTTGGATATCGTGGCACAGGGGAACAGCTTCAGTACCGTGGCGTATGGATGGGATCATGACCTAGAGCTTACTCAAGGGTACGTTGTCGAGCGAAAACTGTTTGCGTTGTATCGAGGTAGAGACTGACTGTCGCGCGTAGCATATTCCTCAACGTCCTCAACGCCCTCACGGTCCTGCGCGAAAGCAGGGAGATTGCCGATTCATGCCCGCCCTTCACACAAACCCGTAAGCGATGGGAAGTCGCTCGGAGATGGAACCAGAAGCGGGCGCGTATGGGCACCGGCGGTGTCGTCCGCATCGGCTACGACGAAATGTTGCGCGACGGCCTCGAGGTTGACCAAGAATGTCTGAAAGAGGCGCTGATGGCCATGAACAACTTCATCCACGAGAACGCCGACCACGACGAATCATGATGGCGCACAAAATTGGTAGTTTCCTGCATTTGTTCCGGTGTTGGTTTGGCGTTTGGGTAACGACTTGGTAACGCATTGCATCGGTTGGGAGGGTTGAGCTTGGTGTTGACAGTCTTCTTTCGTTCTCGTTTCGTATGTACATATGTACGCTCTTTTGCAGGTCGAATTCGATCTCGACTGGCCGTTCGGTGCTGCTCAATTCGCCTTCCTCAGATATGTCGTGTGTCGTGACGTCTTTGATATCGCCCGATCAACCCAAGGCTACGGCTTCCACCGTGCCCTTGCCCAGCACACTCAGTCTCCCCCTCTTGATTCCCAATGCGTCTTCAATCCTCGCATCGGGCTCTCCCTTGCTTCGTCTCATCATCGCCAACGTTATGACACCAGCATCCACATACGTTCTTCCATGGAACCCTCTCCTACCAACGTCTCGCAACTCATCTTCCGCCTGGTCTGCTATCCGTTGTCTCGCCTCCAGTACCCGTAGTACGGGGTTATTGCGCGGGTCGGGGAACGCAGACTGCGGTGGCGATTGCATCATCGTATCGGAGGGAAGATTCGGCGAGGTATTGCGGCGAGGGTCGAATTGCGAGGCAGACGAAGGCGAGAAATGAGGATTCGGTTGGACAGCACCCAGACTGCTCAGGCGGGATGCAAAGGCAGGGTCGCGGGCATCTTGTAAAACAGCTGAACTAGAAATCAGTGTCGTGTCCCCATGCGCTGACAGTGTGTGAAGACATACCCTCGGTCTTCTCTCCAGAAGCCTGCACCTCGAGATGGACAGTCGGTCCCTTTACAGGATCCTGTGCGGGTGCGGAAGGCGCGGGAGCCCGTGTTGTAGTATTTGTAGGGGCTCTGGTAGGGTATTTACGAGCAGCAGAGCCCGCCGCCTTTGCGCCTTTGGAAGCCGAAGAACCCATTATCTCTGTTGGGAATAAGTCGAGTGTGGGGTAGTTGCAGAATGTTGAGATGCGTGGTGATAACGGGGGGGCACATAAGATGCACGTATGGGACTTTGTGAAGCTTGGACCACTCTGATGATGTAGTGGAGATCTCCCGCGTCATGAAAAGGGTTTACTACTTTGGGCGATGCTTGCGAAGGCTGCAACGAATCGTAATTTTGTTTTAGAACACATCGCGACATGCTTAATCTACCAAGGGCCTTTCTGGCCTATATGAGCTTTTCGTCGGCACGGTAGTGTCCTGCGACCAGGAATGCCAACTCCAACGCCTGCTTCTCGTTCAACCTGGGATCGCAGTATGTGGTATAGTTCAGGCTTAGATCCTCGTCCACAAGTCCTTCACTTCCGCCAGTGCATTCCGTAACTGCATCGCCGGTGAGTTCCAGGTGCATGCCACCGAGGAAGGACCCGTGCTGCTTGTGAATCTTGAGCGCTGATGAGAGCTCAGAGAAGATGCTGTTGAAAGAGCGGGTCTTGATGCCAGTAGGCGTGCTGCGCGTGTTACTATCGACACGTTAGTGGATGAAAGATTGCATACCAAGACAACTTACCCGTGCATGGGATCGCACTGCCACACTACAACGTGTCCGCTGCTCTTGACAGCTTCAATGTGCGCTCCAAGCATCGACTCAACCTTATCCGCACCATATCGCGTGATCAATGTAATCTTGCCAATCTCCTTGTTCGGGTTGACAATGTCGAGTAGCTCTACAAGCTCGTCGTTCTTCATGGAAGGCCCAACCTTGATACCAATAGGGTTCTCAATACCGCGGAAGTACTCAACGTGGCCTCCGTCGATTTGACGAGTTCGGTCTCCGATCCAGATGAAGTGAGCAGAGGTATTGTACCAGCCCTTGCCGTCATTTGAGGCCTGGGAAGGCTTGTAGCCTGAAGGGTGCTTGAGTCTCCTTGTCAAGCTCTGCTCGTACTCCAGAACGAGACCTTCGTGGCTGGTGAACAGGTCTACTGTCTGCAGCTGACCTGACGTGTCCGCACCGATAGTCTTCATGAAGCGCAACGAATCGGAGATGCTGTGAACGATTTTCGAGTACTTTGTTTGCAGTTCTTCGTCTCGAACGTGACCCAGTTCCCAGTCCAGAGGGTTGTGCAGATCAGCAATACCACTTGCTAGCTGTCCACGGATGTAGTTCAGTGTCGTCGCCGAGTGAAAGTAGGCGCTGACCAGCCTCTCAGGGTCAACTCTTCGAGCGTCAGGATCGTATCCATTGAGGATATCGCCACGGAAGCTAGGGACTTCCTTGCCGTTCAGCATTTCCGTCGGACTTGATCTCGGCTTAGCATACTGTCCGGCTATACGGCCAATGCGAATGACGGGCTTGTTTGAACCCCAAATCAAGACCAAACTCATTTGCAGCAGAAGCTTGATCTTTGCATCGATCGGGTTGTCCGCGCAGTAGGAGAACAACTCGGCGCAGTCACCTCCTTGCAACAGGAACGACTTCCCAAGTGCAGCATCGCGGAGACTGGCCTTGAGTCGCGCGATCTCCGTTGGTGTAACGATTGGCGGCAGACTCGATAGCTTGGTCAGCGCAGAGGATACTGCTGCTTGATCTTCATATGTGACGACTTGCTTGATGGGCTTTGACCTCCAGGCTGTAATCGTTAGTACAGCAGCTTGAGCGTCCATGATCCCTCTTACAAGCTGGCGACCATTCTTGAGAGCCGGCATCTGTCTCAGCTTCTTGCTTTGGCCTTTCCGGCAGTTGTGTCGAGTTTGCGCTCATCGTCGACGGAGTTGGTTGCGATTGTGTTTGGCCACTGGTTGCTGCCATGAACTGGGAAACGTAGTCGGTTAATTTTGCGTGCCCTTCGTTGTCCATGGTGTGTTCTCTTTCAGTTGATGTGCCTAAGTACACTTCTTCACTAGTTCAGGGCTGTCTGGTTGCGACACGGAAGATCACCTTTGAGTCACTTGTTAATATGGCAGTTCGGCAAGGGTTCGCCTGCAAGGAGACGTGAGCAAAGGACGCAAACACATGACTCAAGGTACAAAATCTGCAACGAAAAGCGGACTGCGTGCGCAATACTTCATGACGTAACACAGCAAACTTACCCTGAGTATGCTGATAGGTGTGTAGCGAGTATATCGCCGCTTCTGCGTTGGTATTCGTGTGTAAGATCTATGTTCCTGCCTGATGCGAGGTTTTGTGCAAGAATGTAGGAATTAGAAGCGTGCATAACTCGAGAAAGTCAACCAATGGCGGCCACTCTCTTTTCCCATTGGCCACATTTCCACAATCCTTAGCTACCCCACAACCATCAGCTCTCCAATCCACTGTCGTCATTGTCTCTCCATCTTCCGTCGCCTATACAAGCCCTCTATACCCCCTCTGCGCTCTGTCAGCCTTCAAAATTGTATCACTCTACTCGCGACATCCACAATGGCCGAGCCCCAGCCCTCCACCGTCCAAGAAGGCGCCGCCGACCCGCACGCACCCACGAGCACAGCCGATGACCGCAAAGCCGCCGCCGCCCTCTCCACCCTCGACGCGCCCCAAGAAGGCGAGAATGGGCCGAAGAAAGAGGTTGATGGCAAGGCACTAGACAAGGCGATGAAGGGGCTGAATGTAAAGGACAAGAAGGAAGGCGAGAAGAAGAATGTCAAGATCGAGGCAGCCGATGTTAACCTGCTGGTACGTTCACCTTGGAATAGCTGCGCAAAGAGAGGGATGTGCAGACATACTGGAATCATTGGGCATAGACTGACAGTTGGACGAACAGGTCTCCGAACTCGAACTTACGAAGCCAAAGGCTACGGAGCTGTTGCGCGCGCATGATGGTAACGCGGTGAAAGCTATGACAGCTTTTGTCATGACGGCACCCTGAGCGATTATATGGAAAGGACAATCATGCAAACACACAGAGCAGTCGCTATTGTTTGGGGCTGCACATACTGAGGCGTCGAAGGGGGTCCGAGTATGGGACGGAATCCGGGCAGGCACTCGTATCCTCTGGGCTCAGGCCACTTGCTTGGACGATGTATAGCGACGGCCAACCTGCCCCTTGCCGCAACACTACCGGGCGGTTCTAGATTGACGAATTTGGGAATAAGCGTTCAAGAACAGAAATAAATGGGATTATCACCGACAAGGCTTCCGTAGCATGAAAGATAAGACGCTCACAAGAAGGTTTCGTGTTTGAAGACAAAAGACATTATTAGTTCTACTATGTTCTAGACCTCCTCTACAAAGACAGATTCTCCTTAGCGATGATACGCCAGAAGTCTACCACAAACTCTCCGCCCTCTTGCAACAGGGGAGCAAACGCTTCGTGCTTCCCAATTGTCGACACTTCACAGGCTATGTACTCCACCACCAGCTTTCTGAGATCTTCGATGCTCCCGTCAGGCTTCCTACCTTCCCCATTATCATATGCGTATCTGGCCAATTCGACCACGTCTCCGACTCGTCGATCGTAGAGCTTGAACTTGAGGAGGGTTTGGTGGAGCTTGTGTAGAGCCAAGCGTTTGAGAGGGTCGATGAGACGCATACAGGCGAAGGTATAGAGCCGTGCGTGCGCTAAGAAGATAGGCGTAAAGTTCTGTTCAGGCTTGGAGTTCTCCTTGGGCAGAGAATCAGCGAGCATTATCGTACTCGGCTCATCTGATGTGAGGTACTCGCGCTCATCAAAGCTTTTGCGCAGACTACGGGACGTCCTTGATTTTCCGGATTTTCTTTTCTTGTTGGAAGATATAAATGCTAATGTAGACAACGGTACATCAGCGGCAGGACGGGACCGCATGCTTGCCAACCACTCTTGGTCAAGTTCGGGTATTGCCTCCGGTTCCGCTTCAGGTTCTGGCGGTGCTTCTTCCTCATCGCCGTCTGATTCACTGGTGACCGAAACTGCGTTATCCAAGGTCCAATGCGGTACAGTATAATCGCGGCGATACGCGTATTCGACAAATCGAGCAAAGTCACCTGGCTCCATGTCTGAATACTCAACAGACCGCTCTCGCGATTGAGCCATGCCGTTGTTCACGAGCGCATGGAAATGCCATGAGGTCGCGGCGACCGCTTTAGAATGCACGACGAACGCTTTTCTCTCTTTGCCGACGTAGAAAGTAAAAAGTCCCGATTCAATGAGACTACATAGTATCAGCTTTCGGGCTAAGTGACCGGTCCTACATACTTACTCCTCAAAGGAACATGACGCTGACGGATCACCCATCTTCGCAACTTTTGGATAAGTCTGAAGTGCATAGGTACATGTCTGAGGCATTGTGATATACGCCTTTTGAGAGATTACGCGCCCTCAACGCGGGGTCGTACAGCGCATACTCATACATGCAATGTGCTTCTGGTGTAGTACAAGACGACATGCCTGCCTGTGGCGTCCAGACACGTCTTCTGGGCGTGCAGCTTTCTGCACTGTGCCGCAAACGTCAGGCAGATACACAAGTACTGTCACACACACCAAACGAGAACAGTATTATGCTTTCGGTCAAAAATAGGATACTATGATGACCGTGTCTGAACAGTAGTGTATTATGATCAACACTTTAGGTTGTTCTTACTCTAAAGGTCGCGAAGCGCAAGTATGCTTGTAACGGCGCTTTGTCAAACACGTCATACCTCCTGCCGCTGTAGGAATTGGAGAAAGCCGCATTCCTTTACAGGCATTCAGGAAGCGCACATAAGGACAGTGAACATGAGCACCGTGTATAGGGCTAGCACTTGACGGGCGATTACTGCAAACCTACAAGCGTAAGCGAGCTCTGGGGCAACCGCAACCGCGTCCCGTCCGTTGCTTTTCCCATCTCAAAACAGGGTTCCACCACGCTGCGTCATCCGCGATCTTAGCAAGGTGATCGCGCGGGACGTTGCACATGGGGTTCCATGCTCGCCGCCGACGTTCTGGACGAATCGCGCGCTGCAGACCGCGATGATGTGCACCACGTACGTCACCGATCCGTGAATATGGTAGACGCTCCATACCTCACTACTCGCTGTTGAAGTCAACGTCCGGCAGCCAGATACACTAACGGCCGTCTACCAACTATCCATCTATCCTGTTTCTCTGCTTGCGCTACTAGCGCATACAAGCCGTCAACACGGCGCCTCAAGTCCCCTCTCGTCGCGCTCTCGCTGGCATTGCGCTCATCTCTGTATTGTCGGCCGTCGAGAAGCAGCGCAAGAAGAAGGTGAAAGGCAAAGAAGATCAGCACGAGTTCAATACGGCCGAGGATATGTCTGGTGAACTACAAACGATACCTGCGCGCCATGGCGTCGCAACTTTTGTGCCCAGAGGCCGGACGATCAAGGTGATTAACACATATGGAAAGCAGGTAGTCAGTATGTGGGCGTTTAGTCTGGGACCCCCGCCTGACGATGGAGACGGCGAGGAGGGCGAAGGGAAGGAACTGGATGACGAGCAAATCAAGAAGGAAGCGGAGCAGATGAAGAAGGCTGTTGAGGAAGAGGGAGAGAAAGCTACAGAGGCGACAAAAGGAGAAGATGACGAGGCGAAGGAGCCGAAGAAGGAGGGAGATGGTAACGACAACGGAAAAGAAACGCAATCTACCGAAGAAAAAGCCGAAGACTCAAAACAAGAAGCTGCTGAGGACCCGCCCGAGCAGGCTCCCGATACACCAAATAACGAGAAGACGACCGAAAGCACAGACTCATCGTCAAAGCAGCCCAACAAGCGCACATGGGCGTCATACCTCCCTTCAATCCCGTACCGCAGCAAAGGTGGAGCGAGCAAGCAGGAAGCAGAGCAGAAGCCTAGCCCTGAGCAGGAGAAGAAGCAGAATGAGGAGAACACAAAGAAGTGGTCTTCATACTTGCCGACTGGAAAAAGCTTCTCCAGCTACGTACCGAATGTCGAAGTGCCAGACTCGAAATCCGTCGTGAGCGCGTTCAAGTCGAGCCATAATCGCGATCCGAACAAGAGCTATGCGGAGCAGTTGTACGACTTCTCGAAGACACCTGTGGGTGCTGGAACCATTGCCGGTAAGTCAACGGACGCGACACTACGTTGTAAGAATCCGCACTAACGCCACGCAGCTGCAACCGGCTCAGGGTACGCATCCTCAGCTTACGCTGTATACTCCGCCTACGCTTCGACGAATCCTTCGAACTCCGAGCAACCTCCCATGGAGTACCTCTCTCTTCCCCACACGCGCGCCGCCTCGCACAAACTCGTACCCGAAGTCGATGACGAGCTATTGACCAACCTGCGCAATCCGATCGTTACCCTCGTCGAAGACACATCGCCAGGTGCTCACGATACACTGACGGCGGCGTGCGACGCGAACCAATACGCTGCTCTCGGTGTCGATAAGCCAGCGGAACATGGTAGCTGTGCCGAGAACCTCGTCCTCGCACTCAAGGAGATCAACGAGACGGCGGGACTGAAAGGCCCCAAAGCAGTTGGCGCAGACATCTCCGTCAACATCGCACCGACACCCCTTCATCTCTTCATGAATGCACCTCTGCAGTCTGAAGGTACATCTCACAGCGACGGCGCAGGCACAAAGGGCGTTACACTCAGCGTCGATGAGCCCAAGGGCAAGAAACGCTGCCACGTCCGCTTCCGCGCCGAGCGAGACGTAGTCATAGTGTTCAGCGCCTGCCCCATGGACGTGGGCAAGCAGAACGGTGGACGCTGCATGGCAGCCAACTTCATGGTCGAAGACGTGCAAGAAGGCGAAGACCTCGCCTCTTCCGTCGCATCTGGCAAAGCGAAGAAAGCACCGAAGAAGCTGAACCAAAAGGACAAGGCAGATGACACGAAATCAAAGCCTAAAGAAGCGCAACAACCCGAGAAGGATGACACGGCGGAGAAGAAGGAAGCACCAAAGAAGCCGGAATTGAAGAAAACGGAATCGACTAAACAGGCACCTAAGAAAGACGGTGACGCGGCAGAGAAGAAGAACGTCCCTGCGCAGAAAGATGAGAAGCCAGATGGCTCCACGACATCTGAAGAGCCAAAGGCAAAGAAGAAGCCTAAGAAGCTTCAGGTGCGTAGCCAGGGGGCGTAGACGCCAACACAGTCCTCATGAAACTGGCTGCGATTAGGCGCAGGTCGTAGTTATTGCCGTGGTTCAATTTGCCTGTTTGAGCATTGAAATTGGGATTTTGTACAATAGCTCTGGGTCCTTCTACCTTGATTTATGTAAACAAGTAATGTCTATGATACTTCTTGACTTTGGCGTGTACCTGTGGGGCTGCCAGTCCTGTGGTGAAGTTTTGCGTCATTGGAATTGAAAGGAAGTACATTCGAAATTGGAGCAGAGAGAATGAATGATCAAGTTGCACCGTAGCGAGCTGAAGGATGAAGGAAGTCATGAGGAAAGAAGATGAATTCGGGATACCGAGAAAACACATCAGCGAGGGTATGTGTGCTACATCCACCGATTTCCCACTCATGCACTCACACACGCACCCCCGCGCATCAATCCATCAACAAGCTCTCATACCATCTCCCTTCCTCCGTAACACACCACTTCCTCAAGCTCAAGCTCAAGCCGTAGCCTCAGCCCCCCTCCCCCTAACATAAACCGTCTCCATCCCCCTCGGCACAGCCGTAGGCTGCGCAACCGGCTCTCTCTTCCCCCACGAGATATACGTCGGCGGCTCAGGCTTAGGCCACGAGATACTCTGCCAGGGAAACTCTAGCCCAATACTGTTCTGCGGCGCTGGCACTGCTTCTCGCTCTGCTACTACAGCGGGGGCAGGGGCGGCAGTAGGTTCAGGCGCGCGCTTCTTCTCTTTGCCCCAGATGACGGTGTAGGTTGGGGGGTTGAGGCCCACGCTGTTGGGTTGCGTGGGCGCGGGGTTAGCGGGGATTTCTATGGGGCCGTCGGAGGGGCCGTCGTCGTCTTCGTTATCCGTGGGGAGGTCAGGTGAAGATGTGGGTAAGGCATCATCGTCTTCTTGGCGCTTTTTGCCCCAGATTACCGTTACGGTGGGCGGGTTCAGACCAATGCTGTTTGCTTGGGTTGGTTGGGAGGGGGGCGGGAAGTCATCTTCTGGGTACTCTGGGTCTTCTGGGAAGGGCTCCTCGGGGAAGGGATCTTCTGGGAAAGAATCTTCTGGGTCGGAGGGGTAGGGCTCTTCTTCGGAGGGTGGGGCTGTTGGTTCGGGCTCGTCGTAGTCCCAGGTTACGCTGTAGTTGGGTGGACCTACGGTGATGTCTGCTGAACGTGTGGAGGTGGATGTGGAGGGAGGACTTGGGGTTGTGGAAGGGGGAGGAGGACTGGGCGTTGGTGTTGGGGTGGGCTTTGGAGTGGGGGATGGCGTTGGTGTAGGTGTAGGTGTAGGCTTGGGTGTATATGTAGGCTTAGGTGTTGTTGTAGCTACTGAAGAAGACTTGGATGTAGACTTGGATGTAGACTTTGAAGTGCTCTTTGAGGTGCTCTTCTTCGTGGTAGTCTTTGTCATCATAGTCTTACTCGTCTTAGACTTCTTGGTAGTCGTAGAAGTTGGCTTTGCGTTTCTCTTATTTAAATCCCAGCTCACGCTGAACTTGGGCGGAGAGAGGCTGATGATAGCGCTCTTGGTTGTTGAGGGAGCTGGAGCTGGCGAAGATGTTGGCTCAGCAGTCGTCGACGGCTTTGGTGTCGAAGTTGGCTTCTTCGTAGACGTCATAGTGGACTTTGCGGTGGACTTCATCGTCGTTGGCTTCGGTGGCCATGGGTTCCATGGAGGGTAGCCGGGTTTCTTGGTAGATGAAATCTTACTCGATGAAGCAGACTTGGTAGAAGAAGACACTGGAGGTTTGTAACTCGTGACAGAAGCGGAACTAGTCATACTGGAGTTCGACCAGATAGGGGGAAGAGTTACGATGGAGGAGTACTTCGAAGTTGGCTTTGGCGTTGGCGTTGGTTCCGGTGTCGGTGTCGGTTCTGGCGTAGACGTTGAGGACGCGCCTGGGCCATCTCCGTCCCAGGTAATACTGTAAGATGGTTTTCCGATGCTGAACTGATCGCTAGGCTTAGGTGGGGGGTAAGCAGGCTCCTCAGGCTCTTCCGGTTCAGGAGTTGGCTCGGGCCCATCAGTGGCCCAGCTCACCCAGAAGGATGGTTTACCGATGCTAAACTGATCCGTCGGCTTAGAAGGAGGAGGGTAGTCGGGTTCTTGGGGAGCAGGTGTGGGTGCAGGCCCGCTCGTTTCCCAGCTGATCCAGCCGGACGGTGTACCAATACTGAATTGATCAGTAGGCTT